TCTGCCGACAAAGGGCAGAGTTCGGCCAGTATAACATGTGCGCACACACGAGTGAGTATTAGCACACACACATCAGCGCGTACATGCAGACACAGATAGTTACATACTCAAGAATCTCACAGAAGACTAAGGAGGATAGCTAAGTGGGGGCTTTCCCCCTCTTGTCTTGGCAAATCTGATCAGAAGAGCCCCCAGCCAAGGATCTGTCATCTCCCTCTAAGCATCCTCATCTGCACCCGCCCCGCGATGAGAAACCACCGTGGCCCCCAGCCTAGCCCGGCCTGCAGGGTGGGGGTGGTCGGGCTGGGGGTAAGGCCTCAATTAAAATGGGAGTGAGAGAAAGATGAGAGCTAAGCCAATCAATAAATACAGAGAACACATGCACATTCACCCAGACACTCGTCCAAACGGATGAAGGGAACAAGCCGAGGGGTGGTGGGGTGGATTTACATCGCGGACAGAGTAGTGGTCAGTGTGTGTGTGTGTGTGTGTGTGTGTGTGTGTGTGTGTTACAATTACAAAAATAAAAAGCCTCCTAAATCATCATATGAAAGCAGAGTGCAAATGAGACGATTAAAACAGGAGCTGGGTGCAAACGCCAACATCCACAAATACACAAGAAACCCCGCTATAAATGTCTGCTGGCCTTTCTGGCTCGCTGCAGTCGGAAACTACCAAGAACTACTCGGCTTAGAGCCATTTAACTTTAGGGCTCCATTCAAGTTCAATACAGCTGCTCCGTTTTGTTGAAACCGTTTCCTTAACCAAACCACTCTTTGCTCGTGCCAGCGAGTGTACGTCCACCAGGAGTATGGCGGCTTGTGTGTTGGAAGAACTTGACAAACTTTTAGTTTTGTCATCCACATAAAAAATTATAGTATAATTACAAAGGAAGATCTGATAAATAGTAGACTGTATTTCAGCTGATATTGAAATTGTGAATGTAAAACCACCTGTTTAACAGCAGAGGGCAACTCAATGTCCCCAAACAAGATCTCAAGTATTTAGAGCTTTCGAATTAATTCATTTAATGATTTTGAGCAGAATGTTTAACAAATACAAACATCCAAATACAGATCTTGGGCAGTACTAAATTACAATATCCTCAACAACATGTCACTGGGACTTCCTGGTGGTCTGGATGTTGAGCTCTACCCAAGCGCACAATCCGCAGTAAAAATAGATGTGTGTCCGGGATCATAGATACAAAGTAAACAAAACACTGAGATTGTGCAAAGTGGAATCTGCTGCTACATCAGCGAGTTGAGGATCGTGCTATGTAATCAGTACACTGCGGCTTCGTGTCTGAACGGTGACCTTTTGATGCACGTCTCTCTAGTCTGTCACATCACTTGCCACCGTCTGCAGTGTACTAATGCAGTCAAGTCCTAATAAAACACTATCTAATTTGTTTACCGTATCTTCGGCACACCGTAGAACTTAAGACGGCTGAGAAGATGTTCAAGGCAAAGCAGGCCATCAGCAGGTTTTAAATAGTAGCTTTAAATAATAATTATTTGTTCTAGCTAAACTAAATTGTTTACAACTAAATTGTAAGGCTTGTGACATTTTACATCACATGCATACTGGCTAGAGAATCCACACCCAGGGAGGGCTGAGATGGCAGCTTA